CACCCCAACCGCAGTCCGACTTTTTCGCCGGCTTCTTGGGATTGACCCCTCCCCTCTGGCCCCCGACGCGCCCGCCCTTCCCCTTCACCTTCGCCACCCCCGCGCGCAGCCACGAATCATTCCGTCGCCGTTCCTTCCCTCTTGTTTTCTTTGGCGTGACACGAAGTCTGCCGTTTTCCCGCCCCGCCCCTCGCACTCCCCGGGCGTGGGCTTTGTGCTGGCCTCCTGCACCTCAGAGCCCCGCACACTTTTACGCGACTTGGCGCCGCGTTTACGTCCCAAGCGCGTCTGGCGGAGGGCACAGTGATCCCAAAGGCATTTCGAGCCCACGCGCGAGAAGAAATCGGCTTTTGCTCTCCTAGCTGTCAAGAGACAATAATTCACTTAACTCAGGCTGATGTTTCACGTGGATAACTTTCCTCTTCGTACATTTTTTCTGGTTTATTTGCCGTTATAATGTTTGGAGAGTGCGTTTTAAGAAATGTCGTTGAAGTCATCTCCCTGAAGATTTAAAAAAATGTGTGACTTAGTGCATTTTTCGTACAAAAAGTCACAATGTTAATTTCAAAAGAATAGTACAAAATGTGTAATTTTCTATTTAATACTATTTACTAAAATGTTGAAACCACATTTTGCTTACAAAAACTTGAATAAAAATAGCTTAATAATTGCAGTACGCATAATCTCCAGTTCGAAACAAGAATTTCTCTGCGTGTAACTATTAACCATAAAGCAGCAAAAAACAGTAATGAACAAAAGCATTGGGATAAACTCATTTACAAATTATGAATTAATAAAATTAAAGTAACTTAGATATCTAAATATTGTCATTTTATTAGCAACATGATCTGAAAACGCATTCAATTGGTTTTGAAATTATTGTGTTTGGGCTAATCTCGGAAGCAACTAAACGCTTTCAATCGGGAAGTATTTTGTCGGGAATACGTTAGACTACTTTTTCATATTACATTTTTCTATCTTACAGTCAATATTACAGTTTTATATTAAACTTAATGCAATTTTGAATACGCAAATACCTTCAAAACAAGAGAAAAATTATTGCGTACATAAGATTTCATAAAATTTAATTCATGTTACTTCCCCCACCATCTTTCTGACAGTTGTTATTTATTTACTTATTTATTTATTTATCGAATGAATTTATTTTGCGAAAACATGGCCATTGTCGGTAAATCCGCACCCATTTATTCGATGCAGACTTCCTTTTAATTCGGTATTCTGGCGTGGATATAGAAAGGAACTTTTTCGAGCAGGCGCGCTCCGCGGCTGTTCCCTTAAGCGCCGCGTGTCATTCTCACTTCTGCGACAGAGGCGGGTTTTAGTGAATTATACACTAACTTTCAAGTTGGGAAACTGGAGAGCTCGTTAGGATGGGAAATTGTCGGAAGGATTTAATTTTTCCGGGCACATCCCGGTTTCTTTGTACGTACCACAGATAGGCATGGCCACTGTGGGAATTTCCTCCTTTCGGAAACCCGCGCATTGGGGGTTGAAAGACCAGCAACTACTCATCCAACGAGACGCGCTCTGCGAAACTTTATATAATAAAATTAATATGTATATTTCGAAAACACTCATTACTGATGGTGATACTCATTACTAATTTTTTTATAAATAATACCCTATTATCAGTTAGCTATTTATAAAATTGATATTGAAATACCAGAAACTTCTTTTTTATCTCTCTCACTCACTCTTTACACACGCACGTACACACAGTGTATACCTGATATGCACCTTTGTATATAAAATACGAACACTCGTTTACAAAAAATGCTTTGATGCACGATGGGCAAACATAAGGCATTTTTGAGACTGCTTTTTTTAGACTCAGCCACTCTTAAAGTAATTTTAAAGTAAGGCGTCCAAATGGTTTTTTTTTTCATTTCAAAAAAGATATAATGCATTCACCTTTGTGCTTCCGGAACCTAATCTTGATTTTCAAAATGCTTTTTATTCAGTAACGACAATGCCTATCCCACAGACGCTCGGCCAGAAGGTTCATCATATTCTTCATTATTGTGGCAATCCACATGTTGCCTTGATGTTTGTTTCCATTGGGGATTTTAAAACATGTTGATAAACATAAACTTAGAAGAACGGCTATTTCTTCAATCAATCAATATATATTCGGTAAATAACTT